TTGGAGCCACGGGAGAGCAGGCACAGAGTCCCTCCTGGGGGCCAATTTGGCTGCCTGAACTCAGCTCTTCAAAGAAGCCTCTAAGACTCAGCTGGTGAGTTTTAGAAGCCAGGTATTCCTACACACTCTCAGATATTTTAAGAGCTTCCTGAGTGAAAAACATAGAGCTCTGATTAGGTATATCTGACCTCAGACAGCTCCTTTCCCCTTTCAGTACAAAATTATTTTCAGAGAATCATTTAATAGGAAGTGCCCAGGAATCCCAGACTGTGCTTTCCAGAACAGAAAATAAACAGAGGGAAGGAGCTCTGCACAAGTGTAACACTCCAGAACAGACCTGACTTTAGTTTTTCTCTTTATGTTCAGTTACAGCAGAAGACAAAAACTCCACCAGGAGAGCTGGCACATTACCCATGGTACCCTCAAAGTCTATCTTACAAGGGCTGTAGGAAAATCACAGCTGTACGAGTCCCTTGGGCCTGCAGATGCCTGGGGATCCTCTCCATCCACCTCGTGCTCTCCCAACAGCAGAAAGGGTGACCTCAGGGACACGGTGGCACTCGACACCCTGCTGAGAGAGCAAGGAAACCTTTAGCCTAAAGGTGAGTTGGAATTTAAAATTTCCTTTCCTGGGAGCTTTGTGAAGCCTGCAACCAGAGGGGGAAAATTTGCATCTCCTTTGGTGCAGGTGTCAACAGAGGCCAACAGAGCTTTCACCTTTTTCAGACAACTGTGCCCTTTTTGGCTCCCTGGCAGCTCCAATGGCACCAGAACCCCCTTCCTGCACACCCACGGGTGTCACACACAGGCACCCACACACCTTTGCTCCAGCCCACACGTGGCCAACATTTCCTCACCCTGGACATCCCAAGGGGAGTATTTCTGCTAGAGAGCACAGCAACCCCCCTGTCCTTGCAAACTGCCTCCCTGCAAAAAAGGAATCATTTTTCCTGGACACTTCTCCAACACCCACGGTCTTTTCAAACTGCTGTCGTGCCACCAAAGCTGCTCAGGGTCCCTCCCAGCTGTTGGCTGTCCTCGGAGCTAACAGGCATACACTCTATTCCATCCTCCCACAGCCAAATTCCCTTCTCACTGGTAGGACGGGCCCTGCCCTTACCTGTGTGAACTCCCGGGCTCGGCACAGCCGTGGGTACAGAGCAGCTTCCCAAGGCAGCTCCCGCCCGGCAGGAAGCACAACTCGCCACACTCCACCAGCCGCTGGGCACTGAACTGAGCTGAGCCCCAACTGAGGGCACAACTGGACAGAAAAGGAGCAAAAAGCATTAATGTAGCACCAAGAAACTGAGACCAGTCTTTGCCTCGTAACCCTGCGCGGGGAAAGGCTTTGGGATTCCAAAGCAAAACCTGAGACACCCAGAGAGCACCAGCCCCGCAGCCCTGCTACGGCTCCCCCCGGGGGCACCCGGCAGGTAACGGGCTTACCCGGCCCCCGCCGCCCAGCACAAGGCGCCCCTAAACGCCCCCCAGCTCCCCCGGTCCATAAACCCAGCGGCCAAGGCGCTCTCCCCTCCGCAGCCCGGGCAGCAGCGGGGCCGCACCCTCAGCCCTCACACACAACCGCCCGCACCTGCCCCGCCGGCCCTTCTATACCGCGGGCCGGCAGCGCTGCCCAATCAGCACTCGAGCGCCTCCGCCCAATCGCAGCCCGCCTGTCCCTGCGGCCCCGCCCCGCCCGCTCCGCCGGCCCCGCCCCTCGGCGCGGCCCCGCCCCCCGTTCCCTCAGCGCGGCTCCCGCCGCCGCCGCAGCCCCGGCGGGCGCTGCTGGGGCCGGGGAAGGGCGGGTGGGAGCTCCGCGGGCACGGCCCGGCCGGGAGCTCTCCCGGGACAAGGGGAGCGGGGACAAGGGGACAGCGGCGTCCTTGGGGGCGGGCCGGGGGGCGGGGCCGGCGCGATCCCGCGGCGCTTCGCTCTGGGCTCTGGGGCTGTTTCGGGCTGGTTTGGGGTGCGGGTTTTGGGGCACTGCGCACACCCTCCCCTGGTCACAGCTCCCTGCGCTCCCCGCACCCCTCGCTCAGCTCCGCGGGGATTTGTGCCTCCTCTGAAGGTGGCAAATGTCTGCAAAGCCAGCCGGGAAGCCAGAGAGCTGCAGCCCCCGGGCCCCGCCGCGGCTTCCCCGCCGTCACCCGGCACCTCCCGCCCGTCCCGCCCCGCAGCACCGCCCCCCGGCCCCGCCCCAGGCCCCGCCCGGCCCCCCCCAAGAACGCCGCTGCCACCCGCCCTTCCCCGGCCCCAGGGGACCGCTGCGACCCCGCGGGGAAGGGACCCCCGGGCCGGCCCCGTCCGGCCCCGCCGCTGGCCCTGCTCGGCCACCGCCCCTCGCCCACAGTTTTAACATCAGAGAGCCAAGATTTAACCCGGAGCGCCGCAAGCTCCCAAGTGCAGGGCATCTCCATAGACTTGTTATTTTTCTCTTTTTAATGACCGCGTTGCCAAAGTCAGGGAAGTACAATCAGCATTCCCTAAACACCATCACTTCTACATCCACTGTGATCAGGGGCCGATGGGCAGCAGCCTGCCCTGGACGGGCTGCAGAGATGCTGGGGAGGCCACTGTTCCCCGGGTTTGAAGGACTCTGGCCGTGATCCCCGGCCCGTGGGCAGAAAGCCCAGAGCCAGTGGGAACTCCAGCCAGCTGCAGGCAGATGTTACTCCGTCCCCGTGCCGGGGGTGGGGACGAAGGTGCCTGTTACAATCTGCTAAAATATTGCAGAAAGAATTTTTATATTCAAATGTTCCCTTGAGCAAAATTAAAACTCATACAAGTTAACTGTTGATGCCAAAACTGTTTTTATTAATTGCTAAGAGATGCGAAGAGAAAGAGGAAAAAATAAGAAAAGGTTAGAAAATGCTAAGATGACTTTTTAGAAGCATAGAAAAAGATTACCGCCAAGAACTACCTTTTGGTCCGTGCCAATTTGTGGAGTGGGGGGGGAGAGGGAGAGAAAGAAGCAGCTTTAGCCTTTTTTTTCTCTCTGGCTCCGCCGGGGTGATGTTATCTCTTTAGCTGCAGGGGGTCTGGAATGCAGCCAGGATGTGAGCTTCTCCCCAGGCCGGGCGAGGATCTCGGGATATGGTCGGGGGGAAAAAACTCCCGTAGGTAGCACGGAGGGTCCCGGTCCAATTCCAGACAGCAGAGGTTCAGTCTCTGGTGACGGGCAGGCAGCTTTCGGTGGCAGGAGAAAAAAGGTGAGGGCGAGGAGGGGGGGGAAACTCTCAGCTGGTAAAGCCAATTGTCTTTCCCACTCCTCTTTCCCTGATCTTCCCAAATTTCCCTTCAGCTTTTATAGTGTTCAAAGGAGGTAGTCTGTGGTGTTTTGGCACGTAGCCCTGTTCAGATGTTTGCAGAGATATGATAACGACGAACAAGATCGGGATCTTTCGGCAGGAAAACTCCAGTGGGAAACTCTGGTGAGAACTTCTGGTGGAAAACTGACACAGAAGTTTTGGTAGGAAGTTTTTGACAGGCAGAAACAACGGTGAAACATAATTTTTGGCATTTGTATGTTATCTGTCTGTTACAGTGCCCTTCCCCGTTCGGAAGTGGAAGTCGTCCCCTGTGCAGAGCCCGCTCTGATCCTCGGCCTCGGGGGAGCCAATTCCCCTGTCCCAGCCCACTTCCTGCAGAGAAGAAAGGGAAAGATTGCACACAAGGGAGACATTCTTCCCTGGGAGGGTGGGGGGGTGGCCTGGTACAGAGAAGCTGTGGCTGCCCCATCCCTGCAAGTGGGCAAGGCCAGGCTGGATGTCTATTAGAAGGTGTCCCTGCCTGTGGCAGGGGGTGGAAGGAGATGATCCCTGAGATCCTTTCCAACCCAAACCACTCCACGATCCCAGGATGATTCCATGCTCTCTCTCTGCATTTATTTGGCCTCATTTCCTCTCAAAAACAACATCTCCAATTTAGTTGACTGCTAAAGCCATCATTTTAAAATCATCCCAGGAATCAAAAGGGACTGGCAAAACACACAGAAAGCAATCCTACACCCACCAAATCCTTAGGAATTGGAACCCCATTCCCTCCTCTCCCTCCTTGTTTTTCTCGGCTGGCAAACCTGATGATCCCCACTGGCTATTCTGAGGCTGCTTTTCTTCCACAGCTCCTTTCTCCCGGCTGAAACCTCCCGGCATATTCAGGGCTTATCCGGAGGGAAGTCCCTCGGAAGTATTTCCTCTCGTGGCAATTCTGTGGGACGAAGAAGTAAAAAAAGCCCGTCAGGAGCTCCTTCTCCCCCCTTCCCTCGCAAACACCCTCCCGGTTTGTCCTCGGCAGCTCCATCCCCCCCTGGCACCCGCCCCCGACGCTTCGGCTCCCCTGGGAAAGGGACAGCAAGGGCAGGAGCAAGCTCAGTGCTGGGCAGGGGCTCCCTGGGGAACGGAACTTCCGTGCTTTAGTCCGGGGCCTTTCCTGCTGCCCTCCCTCCCGGAGGCAGAGGATGACCCCTCCCTTGTTCCTCCCACGCTCGCAGACCCAGGTCCTGCTCTTTTGGCCCCACTTTTCTTAGCAGACCCGGTATCATTTTCCAGGCTCCCCAGGAAACTTCTGCACTTGACCCATTGCTAAGTGCAGAGCACAGGGCAAGGCAAGGACAAATTTCTCAGCACCCACCACCTGGAACTTTCCTTCTCTGCAGCACGCTCCCGTTCCCGCTGTCTCTGGAGGCGCCCGCACGAGTCCTCCTTGTCCCAGCCCTGCCAAACTGACACACACACAGGAGAAATAACAGGTCTTGCTTGCATAATTCCCGACCCCAACCCTTGCCTGTCCTGCCCAGAGCTCAGAGAAATCTGATGGAATATTAATAAACCACCTTTGTTAAGAGCAGTCATCAGCCCGGTCCTTCAGGCTTTGCAGGAGTTTGTAGGGAACAGACCCAAATTCCAGTCCTACCTCTAAATTTCTAACAGCTTGCCTCGGAGAGATTCTGGACAGTAACACATACAACGGAAAGAAAAGACTGCACAAGGAGTAACAGCAGGTTTGCCACAAAGAACAGAAGTTCCTGTTCTCCCTCATCAGGCTGGGACTGTAGCACCCAGTCTTTGCCATCGAGAGACCAGAGCGTTGTCATTAAGACTTAAACCTCTCCCCCATGGGTGTTTCTCAGAGAACTGAGCCAGCACTGAGCTACTCCCATGTGCCTGCAGTGGTTTGGGGAGGGGCAAGACAACCTCCCACTTCTGCTTGGAAGAGAATGAAAAGTCATTCCCCTTCTCTCTCTAACCCAGCACCAAAGCAGTCATGTAGGACAACACCAGACTATGCACGGAAGGCCTGATTCAACTGGGAAAGAAAAAAACCCTAAACAAACAAACCCACCCTGAATTTCAAGGTAAAAATACGCTGCTCCCTGAACAGGAGCACACAAAATGCACTGAAGCCAGAGAGAAAATGACAAAGCAGGAAAAAAAAAAGAGCCAAAAGAAATGCTCTGCCTGCCTTGATACGCTTTCTGCTTGATCATTCCAAAGGGAATTCTCCACAGATCAGAAGCAATTACCAATCATTTGTCCTCTGTAACAGTTAATGAACGACTTGGGTATCTGTTGAGGGGCTGGACATGTCCAGTGAGGGTTCAGGGTCTGGTGGGTTGTTTATGGCAGATCCTGACCGGCCCAGGCCAAACCCAACCACCCCCATCGCTGCTCCATCTCACGTGGAGAATATTGATACTGTATAGAAATACTCCCCTTCACTGCTACTCCATCCTTCCTTACACATGCGTGGAACAGGTTTTCTCCACCCTTTGTTCCCAGCAACAGCTCTCCAGCCTGAATCCCAGCTCCCACAGACACAAACCAAACACACCTAAGGCGATGGTTCCATCAACACCTGGAATTCCAAGCTCCCCGTTTCCTGGAATGCTCATTGCAACACTCACAGCAATCTCACCTCAGCCCACAGGCTCTCTGTCCTCAGAGGCAAACACAGCCTGCTCTAGCACCACATTTCCTTTCACTCCTGGTCTCCTGCAAACCCCCAGGGAAATCCAGTCCCTCAGACCCTGCATCCCTGGACATGAGGGGAACTGGAGTTTGACCCGGATCCCAGCGTCCTGGACAAGTGTGTTCCCAGGAGCACATGCCTGTGGCTCCATCCAGCCCATCCATCCCTCCTTTCTCCCCAGGGAGTCCCAAACCCTCCCCCAGCTCCACTGCACCTGTCCCACGGCCCAGCCCAGCTCCAGGCTCTCCCCCAGCGCCGTGTCAGCTCCAGCCCTGGCAGAGCTGCAAACACCCCCCAGGCTTGGTCCCCCGGGCTCCTGAACCCCCAAGACAAGGCTCAGGCTCACCAACAGGGACCCACCTGCCCCTCTCAGCACAGCCCAACCCCACAACTCAGGGACCCCAGGCTCACCTTTGCCCCTTCCTCTCCACTCTTCCCAGCAGACACGGCAAGGACCAGAGTGGAGTGGGAAAAAGAGCCAGTGCCCAGGGAGCAAATGCCAACAGCCAGGAGGAGAGAAACGTGTCCCTCTGACTTACCCCACCCCACAAGAAGATTCAGGGAAGTTTTACTGCAGCTTTCCAGTAAATAAAGAGATTTATGAGAAAAATGAAGAGACTTTCTACCAAGGTTTCTACTGATAGGACAAAGGATAATGGTTTTCAACTGAAAGGGACATACTAACAAAATTTTTCATGATGCCAGTGGAGAGATATTAGAGCACACTGCACAGGGAAGCCGAGGCTGCCCCATCCCTGGAAGTGTTCCAGGCCGGGCTGGACGGGACTCGGAGCAACCGGGGACAGTGGAAGGTGTCCCTGCCCACGGAAGACGGGGTGGCCTTTGAAGGTCCCCTTCAAACCAAATCGCTCCGGGATTCCCCTCCAAAATCCCTACCAAAGAGGCACAGCAATCAAAGCAGAGGGACTGCACTCCCAGCTTTTCTTACCTGCAGGCACGCTGGACATAAAAGCCGCAGGCTCAGTCCTGCCAGAGGCGTCCGGCACATCCACGGCGACCGAAGGGAAAGAGGGAGCCTGGGAACACGGAGTAAAAGACACCTTAATTAGGACTGCACCGAGCAATAGCCAGGTCATTCCCACAGACAGCTTCGCCGGCCAGTCACACGAAAAGCACTTACCCAGCAGGGCCTCAGTTAGGATGGCTCCTGACGCTGACCAGGCGAACGCCTCCGTTTGCCCCGGGGGGTCAAGAAGAACATCCCTGGTAAGAAGTCACCCCGAAGGACAAAAA